TATTGTTTGCTGCGGACATACATCATGTATACGTTCATAATTACATCTATTGTATTTTATTTTTTACAACTTGTGATAAGACAATACTTAACTCATGTCTTATGTAGTTACAGCTTACATATAATAGTTTTTCTTTACCCAGTACTGTTATTTTCTCTCTATTTCTTTATATCACCGTAAAGTAATTAGTATTTCTCTCTATAGTAAATCCCAAATTTAGAGTCCTGTAATTTTTTGTTTAGTTTCATTGTTAGTTTTTCAATATCTTTTATATAATATTTTGGGTATATTTCCCCCCTCGAATCTTGAGTATGTTGTAAGGTTGAGCCAAAAGTCAATCACAACATCTAAACTTTGACTAAAGGTTCATAATTTTGATAAAAGTTTTCAAAATAATTTTCCTCCAAAACACCAAAATTATTATATACATGTGAAAGTATTAGTCCATATCTTTCAGTACATTCTACAACATATTTAAGAGTTGTAGTTTCTTCCAAAAGTTGTGTTATTAATTGAAAAAAGTAGTAATTTTTATAATTTTCTTCTAAACATGCAAAAAATGTTAGTTGAATTGAGTAAAGGCTGATGAGTTCTCGTGCACGGCGACACCTGCTCACACACCAAACATTACACAAGAACTTTGGTACAAATTTAAAAAACTGTTTCTATGTCAGCAAAAAAATAATAATAAATATCACTGAATATTTTAATTTCTATTTTATTTCAATGATTTATGGACAAGATCAAATTAAAGGCAATAACTAATTATTATTATATTCACAGTCATTGATAAATCACCAATCACTAATTATCTCATTACAAAAAAATAGAGAAAATTGATTTTTTTTCTGGTATATTTGAAATAAATCACAGAAGAAATCTCATTCACAATCACCAAGAAAATCACGAATCAGTAAAAAAAATGTTACTCAAAAAGTAAAATCTAACTTTTTTTAAATATTTTTTTTTGCCTTCATTAACAACTCTAAATAAAAATCTATAATCAATTCATTCTTTATAACAATTAAGGTTAGTTATTTTTGACACGGTTTTCCCACCCAAAACACATCACTATTGAGGGAAATAATCACAATAATCTATCTTTACGTAACAGATTCCAAAAATTACCTCACAAACACTAATTTACTTTATCGATGAAAAAAAAGTAAAAAAAAAAGTAAAAAAATACATCTCTATTAATATTTTTGTTATTTTTATCACATCTGACAAATCTCCAATCAGAGATATCTCACAAAACATGGCGTGAGAGATCGTACAGAGAGACAACGTAAAGTGTACAAAACAGGTGTAAATATATCAATAATTAGTAAACACTCCACCTACATCAATCCCAAATGAACGATATCTTACAGGTATAACGTGAACGATATCCAGGAGACACTGGACGAAAATAAAGTGAAAAATACAATATATATATATATGTATATATATATGTAATCTCTATAATAATATTTTTCTCCACCTTGCCACACGTTAAGGGGTAGATCGAGGCCATAAGAACCTCCACTTATATATATTAACACCCAAATGTATATATACACACCCACCATACGTGTGTTTATATATATATATATTTGTTATTTTCTTATAGTTATTATGCCACGTTTAGACAACAATTGATAAAAGTCGTGTCCAATAGAGACTGATAAGCTGGTCATTATTAAAGTATTATTATTATTATTATTATACTGTAACAGTGAAGGCGTGTCAGAGGACCTCGTTCAGGTCTGGCTCCCGAGACCAACAAACTCTGATGTTTGTCTTGTTGATCTGTTGAGGAACAAACGTCCTATCGCAAGTGGTCAGGTAATGATCCTTAAATTATATTGGTAGTGTGTGTGTGTGTGTGTGTGTGTGTGTGTGTGTGTGTGTGTGTGTGTGTGGACTTGTTTATAGTTCCCTTGTGTGTATATGTGTGTGTTTGTGTAACAAAGTAGGACTATTACATCAGAGGAACCACCCAATAGGAAAAAAGACGATGGGCGGAGCCTCCGTCGGGTGGGAGGAGCCATTACCCGAAAGGAGGAGCTATGAACTAGTGGGAGGAGCCACCGTCCAGGGAGGGCAGCAGGCGCCCAATGAGAGAAGACGGTGGGAGTGGTCGCCACCCAGTGGGCGGACCCAACTAAGGAGGCGGGTGAGCGCGTACACATTAAGTACATGTTGGTGTTGTCGGCACCAAGACAATGATTGTGCTTCTTTCTTTGGTCCTGGTCGTGGGGTCGGTCTCAGAGGGGAGCACATGTATATATATATATATATATATATATATATATATATATATATATATATATATATATATATATATATATATATATATATATATATATATATATATATATATATATATATATATATATATATATATATATATATATATATATATATATATATATATATATATATATATATATATATATATTTCTCTTAAAAATTAGTTTATATTGTGTGGCGGACATCCAGTGCGACATTGACCACACCAAGAAGGAACTGTTGGCTGCCTGCACCAGCAGTCTTCGACCCGGAAACACGTGTATTGTACAGTACATGGCCAACAAACAGAGACATATAAGGGTTACTCTTCTACCTTACTAAGAGGAGCGAAGGGAATTATTCCACAAAATATTTCATAACATATTCCATAATCTATTTCATTTGAGTCGTAAACATAATAATGAGAATACTAGTTTAATACTCCCGAGTCTCAGACAGGTTAAGTCGCCTGTGTCTTCCTCACAACACATCCCCCACAACACCTTTACACAACATTATAAATTCAGTTACTAAGTCTGTCAGGTTATACGAGGGCTTGGCGTGTCTTCACAACCGATGGCTCCTCAGGTCCTGTGATCAGGTCAAGTGTTTCCTGCGACGCTCACCCTTGACGTGTCCTCATAGCTCTCCAGCGGCGTTAGAACCTTTCCTGAGAACCTTTGACAATGTTTGAGAACCTGATGATTGGGTGAGAGTCTGCCGTCAGTGTTGCCTTCTTCAGGTAGGTCACCTCTACTGGATGTCCTGAAGCACCCCAGCGACTTAAACATTTCCTGAGAACCTTTGACAAGTATTAGAGACTTTGGCAAGGGTTTAAACCTGTCAAGTGATCTTCTAGACGGGTTTATCCCCATCAGCGTCACCCACGTCAGGCAGGTCACCTGGGGGTCACCTCGTGTCCTCAAAACTTTCTACTAGATTCACAAACATTTACCTGAGAACCTTTGACAATAAACTGGGTCATGTCCATTGACCCCCTCAGGCAGGGAGAGTACACCTCAGGTCACGCCCTCACAGACCGGCCCCGCTACCAGTGTGTGCAGACACCTACAACATCACACGCCAACACACTTATAGGAAAATGAATCAGGTCTATCGGTAAAATTATCACATTCACGTTCTGTTATAATAATGGATCGTCTTATATACTGTACACACTAATAACTACCAGAGACGACCTAAACGATTCTTGTAACTAATACCGATCATTATGTTAGGTCAGGGGTCAGAGCTGGCAAGATGGTGTGTGTGTGTGTGTGTGTGTGTGTGTGTGTGAGTCAAGAAGATGTTTGTAATTTGCTTTTTAGCCTAAACGAGCATTGTCAGCGAAACCTTGAACCCCTGAGCCTAAACATGTACGTGTATATATTGAATTCTCGTACATACATAAGTTTAGGGGTTCAAATTTGACCTGACAATATCTCTTGATCCACACACACACACACACACACACCAGAAAAATGAGCCTTGCTAACTCTGAACCTCTGATTCAACTCTTTAAGGGGGGGGAGGGAGGGGGAGTGGGGAGACATAGACCAACTGTTAGCAAAACACGAAACACTAAATGGATCAGTTCCTTGAGTTACACACATCAGGTATGAGTGACTGCGCAAAGCACGTGATATACCTCAAAATATATGCAGACACTTGTGGGAGTGACCAGGTGGGACCACGAGTGATTGGACGATTAATAATTTCATCAGGTGTTACAAGTTAAGAATCCATAATACTTTGAAATATGATCGATAAAACACACACACACACACACACACACACACACACACACACACACACACACACACACACACACCTTATCGACCAACTAAGTAAACCTAGAGAGATTAGATGACAAACTTACAAAAATTTTAACACTTATTTTGTTTTCTTATCTCGTGGTCACCTGTTCACTACCCAGCTGCAACAAGAGAGAGAGAGAGAGAGAGAGAGAGGTTGTTGTATGTATTGTTTTAGCACCATTTATAAGCTTCCACAACACCCATTAAAAGCCATCCAATAAAACAAATCTTTTCGTCTGTACAAATCCGGGTTTTATATATATATATATATTTTTTAGGGGGGGGTTATATTATTTTTTTTTGTCTTGTCTCTCAGAAAAAACTTTTGGGGAGGGTGACAAAATAGTTTAAAACCTCGGATATATATATATTTTTAATCTCTCCCACACACACACATACACACTTCAGGGTCTTCACAAGAATACACAAGTTTGGCTTAAAAGGTAAAAAACACGGTCGTACGTTTTCTCTTATTCTCATTTTGGCTGAATATTTCCCGTTTTCTTTTTCTGTGACGTCATTAAGTCCATGTTACCAGAAGAACCACGAACAATGTTATTTTTTTTTCTTTCTTCTCGTCTCTACTACTAAATGGAAAGAGATATATGGTGATTGGAACTGCTGATAATACACACACACACACACACACCACTTGGACAAGCTACAGAAAACGGGAAGAGGTGGAGACTGGTTACTCAAATCCTGGTGTCTGATTGGTTGGAAACATTGCAACTTCTCTGTGATTGGTCATCTTCTGAATCATAAATTACCAATCGGATTTTGTCTTTTCCATATAATTTCCAAATAAGTTTATGTTTTACAACCGCATCAAATTAACAAACTATAAAATGTCCTATGATATATATATATATATAATCTCTAAGTCTATATAATTTTTCACATCTATAATATACTTAAACCTTATAATAAGTCGCTGGTCTGAATTATATACCTATAGGGGTGAAGTGAATTATAGGTAGGATATATAATTAATTTAAGAGAGATGCTTTATAGTGCCCCTTGGAAGCTTTGTATTATATATCGAACTATAAGAGAGAGAGAGAGAGAGAGAGAGTAGAGAGAGAGAGAGAGAGAGAGAGAGACTTAGAAATGGTTATGGTAATATGACAAATGAAAACTCTTTATGAACACTCATTCTTACACACATACATACATACATACATACATACATACATACATACATTATTACATTCTCTCTCCTCTTCTCCTTTCTATCTCTCATTCTCCACACCTCACACCCCACTTTCTCTCCCACCAACCACCATCATCTCACCTCTCCTGTAATGCGTGCCAGTCATTCTTCCCAATTTGGAATATTGAGTGATGGTGAGGGGAAACAGGTCTTGTAAACTCCCCTTGACGACCGTTCAGGGTTAGAAGCATTGCCCCAAGGGATTCTCAAGGGATGGTGGCTTCATCTCTGCCAATATTCACACTCTGGGGGCAAACTGGGGTCGTGGAAAGGGAGAAATTTGGGGAAAATGAAGGGGAAATGGGGAAAATGAAGGGGAAATGGGGAAAATGAGGGGAATGGGGAAATGAAGGAATAAATGAGGGAAATGGGAAAGTTGAAGGAATGGGGAAAATGAAGGGGAAATGAAAACAATGGAAATGGGGAAATGAAGGTGAAATGGGGAAATGAAGGAATGGGAAAAAGGAAAGTTAGAGGACACACATGGTATGAAAAAATTTGTGTTTATTATTATTATTATTATTATTATTGTTATTATTATTGTTATTATTATTATTATTATTATTACTGTTGTTTATTATCATCATTATTGCTATAAATATATTCGTTATTACAATCATCAATAATATCAATATAATTATTTCTGATATAACATTGCTTAGATAATAATAATAATAATAATAATAATAATAATAATAATAATAATAATAATAATAGGTGGCCCCAGTGCTACCAACAAGAGACAGGCAAGAAATAATTAGATTTATTAAACAATATCCACCATAGAGTGAGTTGGTAGCACTGTCACCCATATATAGTCATTAGATTGTAATGAGCAAATTGTTGATAATTTGGAGGAGAGAGAGAGAGAGAGAGAGAGAGAGAGAGAGAGAGAGAGAGAGAGAGAGAGAGAGAGAGAGAGAGAGAGAGAGAGAGAGAGACACTTATCACCCGAACCCCGTTTTCTATACAACAAATCGATTTACAGAGAGGAAAATAATCATTGGGTAATTTAAGCCCTAATGTGTCATCTAACTCAACATAACCTCGCTATAAGGTATACTTAGTCAACCTCTTCATATATAACTGGTCTAATTGTTCATAACCCTGATATAGACAGAATTTTTATACACTTGATATAAGAGACTAAAAGACGGTTTATATAAAAATATATATGTAATGTAAATATATAATTGGTCATATAAATTGTGTATATAATATAGGTAGCCGATTAGTTAGTCCGGATTGGTAAATATAACTCGGATTTATAACGACTGTATGATTTTATATTTCATCTCATTTATTTATTTACATGTGACCCAATGAAGTTAAAAATTCTTTGTTTCCGGACGAATTTATTTTTTTTACAGACGAATTTATTTTTTTACAGACGAATTTATTTTTTTACACGAATTTATTTTTTTACAGACGAATTTATTTGTTTACATAAGACGGTTCTGTTACTCTAGACAGGTGAGTTTAAGATGAATGTCTGTCTACAGCTTGACCAGGTGAAGACGATGAAGGACTGACAGGTAAGGCATCACTCACTCACTCACTCACTCACTCACTCACTCACCTCAGCAGTTCCTAACCCGGGCATAAACAAAATTCTCAAAGATATCGTAAGTTAATAATATTTTTTCCCTTAACTCAATAAAAACGTAAGTAACTGGTTCTACTAACCTCTTTCACCCTAAAGAGAGTTGGGGGTTGGGGGGTTGGGGGGCTAAAAAAGCTTAGGAATTTTAAGAATCTCGTATCTTGTGTTTAAATCAAAATATCGAGAGAGAGAAAGAGAGAAGAGAGAGAAAAACCCATTGATTCTATCTTATCTAGAATCATTATTATCATTTTTTTTTCTCTAAGTTACGAGAAAAAGCAAAACCTTACACAAGTACTGCATGAACCATTGAGAATCCGATTGGTTTTGTTGATTAAAGATCAAGACGACAAGTATCTGAAGTCGAGGGAACAATTGATTATAGATAGGAAACACGATAGGAGGGGGGAGGGGGTGTGTGAGGGGGTGAGGGGAGGGTGGGAGGGGGGAGGGGGGAGGGAGGGTGGAGGGGGTGAGGGGGTGAGGGAGGTAGGTAGGGGTAGGGAGGGTGAGGGGGGGGGAGGGGTGAGAGGGGGGGAGGGGTGGGGAGGGGGGTGAGGGGAGGGTGGGAGGGGGAATGTGAGGGGGAGGGAGGTGTAAGGGGGGGGGGAGGGAGGGGTGAGGGGGGTAGGGGGTGAGAGGGAGGGTGTGGGGGGAATGGGGAGGGGTGAGGGGGGTGGAGGGGAGGGGGAAGGGGGAGGGGAGGGGGTGGGGAGGGGGGGAATGGGGAGGGGTGGGGAGGGGGGGGAGGGGGTGAGGGGAGGTGTGAGGGGGTGAGGGGGTGAGAGGAGGGTGAGGGGGGAATGGAGGGGGGTGGGAGGGGAGGGAGTGAGGGGGGTGAGGGGGGTGGGAGGGGGGGTGGGAGGGGGTGAGGGGTGAGGGAGGGGGGAGGGGAGGGGGGGGGAGGGGGTAGGGGGGAGGAGGTGAGGGGAGGGGTGGGAGGGGGAATGTGAGGGGGTGAGGGGAGGGGTGGATGGGGGTGAGGGGGAGGGGAGAGGGAGGGGATGTGAGGGGGAGGGGAGTATGGGGGTGAGGGGTGAGGGAGGTGTAGGGGATGTGAGGGGTAGGGAGGTGGAGGGGTTGAGGGGGTGGGGTGAGGGGAGGGGAGGGGTTGAGGGGAGGGGGGGTGAGGGAATGTGGAGGGGGTGAGGGGAGGGTGGGAGGGGGTGAGGGGGTGGAGGGGAGGGTGTGAGGGGTGAGGGGGGGTGAGGAGGTGTGTGAGGGGGGTGGGAGGTGGGTGGAGGGAGGGGGTGAGGGGAGGTGAGGGGAATGTTAGGAGGGTGAGGGGAGGGTTTGAGGGGAGGAGAGGGGAGTTAAGGAGGAGGAATAAGAGGTATGAGGTTGAAGGAAGAAGAAGAGGAATGGAAGAAGAGGAGGTAGAGGAGGTAGAGGGAGGTAGAGGTAGAGGAGGAGAGGAGGTAGAGGAGGAGGGAGGACTAAGGAAACAAATTATTACTTAGTTTTCAGTAATGACAAAAACAACTGGACACTATATACAAGACTTGGATAAATGTTTGTTTATTTATGTTAATGACGTGATAAAAATAATATACATTATATATATATATATATATATATATATATATATATATATATATATATATATATATATATATTATGTCTATAAATATATATTTGTTATAGTTTATATATTTATTATGTATATATATATATATATATATATATATATATATATATATATATATATATATATATATATATATATAAAGAGAGAAAGAATGAATGAATACAACGGTAAGTGAGTTAAGGATAGAACAGCCATTGTTATTGTTTACTTCTTTCCTTCTGTTCTTTCAATTTTCTTTCTTTCGTCTCATTTCTCTTTTTTTCTTCCTTGCTTCATCTCCTTTTTCGTATTGTTCTATTGTTCTTGTTTTTGCTCTTCTTCTTGTTCTTCATCTTGTTGTTGTTGTTGTTCTTCTTCTTGTTATTTTCTTGTTGTTTTTTCTTCTTGTTTTTTCTTCTTCTTCTTCTTCTTCTTTTCTTCTTTCTTCTTCTTCTTCTTCTTCTTCTTCTTCTTCTTCTTCTTCTTCTCTTCTTTCTTTTTTCTTCTTCTTTTCTTCTTCTTCTTTTTTCTTTTCTTCTTCTTCTTCTTCTCTTCTTTTCTCTTCTTTCTTCTTCTCTTCTTCTTTCTTCTTCTTTTCTTCTTCTTTTCTTCTCTTCTTCTTCTTCTTCTTCTTCTTCTTCTTCTTTTCTTCTTCTTTCTTCTTCTTCTTTCTTTCTTCTCTTCTTTTTTCTTTCTTTTCTTCTTCTTCTTCTTCTTCTTCTTCTTCTTCTTCTTCTTCTTCTTCTTCTTCTTCTCCTCCTCGGTATGGAACAAGGACTTATCGATAATGAACTTAAAGAAAAGTTAAGAGACTGTGAGAAAGAGAGAGAAACGACATTACTTAAGTCTTGAGATAAAATTTTCTCTCTTAGATATAAGGAGGTCCTGTAGAGAGACAGACAGACAGACATAGACAGAGAAATAGACAAAGAAATTGACAGAAAAACAGAGAGAGAGAGATAGACAGAGAAAAAGACAGACAGAGAAACAGACAGACAGACAGACAGACAGACACCAGGACAGTACAATTTCCACGTATGAGTTTTAATACGATTAAATAAAGCTTTTTATAGTAAGTTCATTATACAGTTTTTGCGTTCACTCTAACACCTTTTCCCTTTAAAACTTTTCTTCCTGACCTAACCTAACCTAACCTAACCTAACCTAACCTAACCTCCGAATTTCTTGTTATTTTCCTGTATTGTTTTTGTCTTCCCGGCGTTAATTTTTTTGGACACCTTTTCGTTAATTTTCTTCGCCAATTTGGACTTTCTATTCGCCAATTAAGATTTTTTATTCGCCCATTTCCATTTCTTTTTCGCCAATTGCACTTTCTTTTCGCCTTTCTCTTTATTATCTATCATACAAAATGGCGGCTAATATTAATCTATCGACCTTATTGACCTTACTAATGTTATTGACCTGACATTACTGACCTGACTGACTGAAGCAACTCACCAATATTATTTCAAAAGCACTTGTGAACACCGGGTGAGGGGGGGTAAAAAAATAGAGCGTATGGTAAAAAGAACGAGGGAGGGGAGGGGAGGGGGGAAGAGGGGAGGGGAGTAGGGGAGTAAGGGAGTAGGTGTGAAGATGGGGAGGAGAGTACAGGGTAGGAGGATGGAAGGGGTTAGGAAGGGTGGTTGGGGAGGGGGGTGGGGAGGGGAGGGTAGAACGGTGAGGGGAGATGAAGGGAGGGGAGATGAGAGGGGAGATATTATACACTGTCACATCTTTTTTTTAATTACAGACTAACACGTCTTCTAAAAGAACTTATCAAAAATATTATATGCTTTTTATTTATTTTCTTAAAACACTGCCTGACTACAAGACACAACTTGCTTTCTTATTTTTTAATATATATATATGTTTATGTATATATATATGTATATATGATTACATATATATATATACCAAGAAGGAAAAAAGTTCTTGTTGTTTTTTATAATGTTTCACACGTCTCCAAAAAATCAGTCTGGGTCTTTTGTGCGTCTCAAAAAAGTTCCTCGTCGGATACTCAACTTGGGGAACACCGCCACACTGTAGCAGGTGACACTCTTCCAGTCCATCTGTTTTGGCGCTTCACTGGCGGCGTCAGGTTGTTCTAGCAGGAGCCACCGAGGCCCAGTGGATGAGCAGGTGTACAGAGAGGACGGCCACAAGCGCCAGCAAGTCGAGACGAGCGGCGGCGGAGGCGGCGGGGAGGGACGTCTGTGGCTCCGGAATGTTGACGTCCACCTCGGCCAGGATGAACATGGAGAGGATGGCGTCGGTGATGATGTCGTCATGGCGGGGCCGAGCGTTGATCTTCTGGGCCAAGTCCTGCAGCGGGCCAGCACACTCCTCCTGTAGGTGATGCACACACACACACAGGTCATGAGACACACCTGTACACCTCCTGTAGGTGATGCACACACACACACACACAGGTCATGAGACACACCTACACTCCTCCTAGGTGATGCACACACACACACACAGAGACACACCTCACTCCTGTAGGTGATGCACACACACAAACAGGTCATGAGACACACCTGTACACTCCTCCTGTAGGTGATGCACACACACACACACAGGTCATGAGACACACCTGTACACCCTCCTGTAGGTGATGCACACACACACACACACAGGTCATGAGACACACCTGTACACCTCCCAGATGCACACACACACACACACAGGTCAACACCTACCCTCCTGTGGTGATGCACACACACA